AAGGTATCATCTATAACAGATCAGAAATCCATCCGACCCACTGCCTGCATCAGTTTAGTCTTTCGATACAGCATTTGAAGTGCAGGCGTTCATCAAGTTCATGAAAGTATTAAAAGTGCAACAGAGCTAGCCTGAGCTTAATGCATCTCAGTAAGGTATTGCTCGAATGTTTTGGTCGACAAGTGTAGTTTGATGATATCTCCTGGCAACGTCAGGGTCATCCAGTAGCTGCTTTTGATGAGCAAAAGATGATAGAACCTCGTGCGGGGGTTGAACCCGCGACCTTGTCCTGGTAGTCAGGCGAACCGCGACTAGGAAAGACACACTCTACCACTAAGCTAACGAGGCTTTGCTAATCCGTGCTCCATAGCGGATCAATATCTGTTGATCATTACTAGACACTTTCACTGCACTCATGACTTTCTTCATACCAGATAGTTTTCGTAAAAATTCTTATGCTTGCACAGTGGTTCAATTGCTACTATCAGCTACAGCGATTATAGAGGACAAAGTTGTCCACAGCTAATGAAAAGGCAACTAACTGCCTTGGCCAATAACAAAGAAAAGAAGAAACAAATAGAACAACCCATACATCGTGTTTGGTATGAGTTCCGACGTACAATGTACGCCATGAGAGTATAAGGCCCACATTGTTCGAGGGAGATATCTGAGATGCGAGGACAAGAAGATAAAATGAAACGGTCAACCAGAAAAGGAAGCAAGAGTATTGTCAAGAACAGCGGCATGCCAAAGCAAGGCTTAGCAGCATGAAAATTAATATGATGGAAGAGCATACTGTATAGCGAAGAGATCGGGTATCACAGCCGAGATCTACCTGGAGAAAAGCCCGTACCCCTAATGTTTGTATGACACTCATGCAGCTTCAATGGTGGATACAGTGGTTGGCCCGGAGATTGAACCATCTGCTGCAACCCCATTGACACCTGGTTCAACTGAGGCATCGCCTATTTGGTGGAAATCTAGATGAAGTGTGTGAGTAGTGAAGATCGCGGATTGTTCTTGATATTCTTACCGAGGATCTCGCTATACATCATCACCTTCCAAGTATCAACAGGCAGGTCCGCGTCATTGAAACTCCAATCAAATGGTTCAGGTGCAATTGGTTCATCGGTTGGATCATGGTAAGGCGAGACGTAATCATGTGAGAGAGCTTCAGTAGCTGTGATACGCTTCCGAGGATCAAAGACAAGCATTCGCTCGAGGAGGTCAAGAGCTATGAGCAAGTAACGCGTTAAACGGCTATGCCAGGAGCAAGGTCAGGAGAATCATACCTGATTGATCCGTGCATCTGAACCTCTCGCTGAAGGGAATCCTCTCTCGTTTTGGTAGACTCTGTACAAATCGAAGGGTCTACAGACGAAGAACGATGTTCAAACCAGAGTTTAATATAGATGAACATGAACACGTACATTTTCTGAACAGATTGTCTGGATGACGTCGTCAGGAGGCGTGCCGAGTAACTCGGTAATAATCGAGAATTGGTTCACATCTGTTGCGAGCAAGGGCGTTGAAATGTGTTCCTCCTAGCTGATATATATTACGTACGGTCCTTTCCAGGGAACAGTGGTTTGCCTTCGAGCATCTCGGCAAAGATGCAACCAGTGCTCCAGATGTCCACAGCGACATCGTACTTTTGCCAAGTCAACATGATTTCTGGTGCTCGATAATATCTTGTGGAGACATAGCCGGTCATCTGAGGATCTTGGATTCGGGCCAAACCGAAATCGCAAATCTGAGTGTGGGACGAGGCTCAGCAGGTGGTTATATGTGAGCGTGTATTCATTGGACATACCTTGAGATCGCAGTTCTCATTGACCAGAATATTACTAGGTTTCAAGTCACGATGCACAACACCCGCAGAATGGACGTATTTGAGGCCGCGCTATTCCGAGAGAGGTGGGAATTAGGGTGAAATTTGGGATTAGAGAAATTAGAAAGTCCGTACCAGAATCTGGTAGAGGAAGTACTGAATGAATTGTTTCTCGAGAGGTCGAGATGTGAGCAGCCGATGTAGATCCGTTCCGAGCAATTCAGTTACGAAATAGCTAGACGAAGATAGTTTCTGTGTCAAACTTTCCGGATATGGTTTAAAAGATGAAGATGAAACATACATATCCTCTAAGGGGGAGATGAAGACATCACTGAGACTGATGATCTGGATGAAGTGAGATGCCCATGTCAGGAACATGATTAAATAAATTAGATGATAGATCGATGGAATGACTGACATTCTCATGTGTGATGTGTTTCAGCAGCTTGAGTTCACGATATGTGCGTTTGGAGAGGACTGGGGTGCTAAATGGTTTCATGATCTTCTTAATGGCAACCGAAGAGCCAGTAAGTTGATCTTTGGCCGAGCTGCGCATGGGCATAAGTTCCGTGTATTTGGAAGTGGTTGAGCTATGCTACTGACCAGACAAGACCGAACGCTCCTAGAGATCCGCAGATGAAGAGTGAGTGGCTGCATCAAGAATAGAGGGAAGGGCTACTTACCCATCCCAACCGGTTGAAGATCAACATATCTGGTGGTAACCTAGTCAAGATTTGCATAAGCAAAACCTCTGCGGTGAGATCCACTTCATATGCGCACCTCAAATGAAGTTCCAAAAATCGAAAGCTTGACGAATGACATTGAAGAAAGTGGCGGAGTGGAAACGCGGTGGAGATGGGGGAGGGGGGGAAGGGATCGAAGTCAAACAAAAGACGTTTGCAGCCAATTCAACCCATTTCTAGTCGGATTCACAATCCTTACCCTATGATGTCATTGCTGACTAATCATCACTTCCGACATTCTGCCACGCGTGTTTCGTTGCTATATGAGGAATCTGCTCCACTCCACAAGCGATTTAGTACCTCTCTTTAACCTGTCACCCTTCGAAAGTGTTTGATCGATAGGGCAACCTTATTCCTGCCTATGACGACATCAAATTCGCAGGACACTCCCTTGAGCATGTGATCCCGGTTCTACTTTTTGCTGTTCAACTGCTTTCGATGTATTAAAACCCATCTCTTAATGTCTGCGTTTCCTTACTCAACGTTTGGGTATGGATTTCGCGTCGACTTTGAGGACGATGAGATCATCCCAGATTCTGAGGAAGAACGAGAAGTTTCCGAGGCTCTACAGCTGGAGACGCACGAGGCTATTTCTTCCTATCACGATTGGGAAGACCATCTCGGTCTCCACGCGACCACAGATAGCCACGAGGCGTCAGATTATGGCATGAATCGAGGCGGGCGTCGGGTTGTGACCTTTGCTGATACAATTATTAAGGTACGTATTATCAACTCATTCCCATTGTTAACACTGCATTCTAGCTTACAAGTTCATGGCAGCACTCACCCCCTTCAGAGAACTACTTCACACAAACGCAGAAAGAGATAAATGGAGAGCGCAGGGCCAATATTTCTCCACCGGATCTCGTTCGCCCTACAACTCAGGGGTTGCACAAAAACCCTGCTTCCTCTCCTCGTTATAACGCGTGCAGCCGATCACCAGAAAGGCCCGAGATACAAGATTTGCATTCTTCCAAACAAGAATCTCCACCAACACCGCGACGGCTAAAGGTCGAAGTGGTCATTCCCTCGCCTCAACGACCTGCATTGACAGCAACCGGCCAGGCTCGGCAGAGCACCGGCAGGGTATCGAGGCATCCGAAAATCAGTTCGCTAAAGAAAAGGCACTCTTCTGGAAAAGGCGATGTGGCTGTTGTTAACCGGCAAGGAATCCTTGTTAGGACCATATCTAAGAAAGATTTGAAAACACTGCATCATCACACTAGTGGGGGAGGTTTCATGTAGTACAATATTTTTTTAACTTAACCTTGGCATAAGGTCAAGGAAACGAGTGGGCAATCCATGTATCATCAATCTACAGTAAATAGTATAGTCAATACAATTCAATCGTAATAATACAGAATGGTGGACCTAAAAAGAAGGAGAAAATCCTTGAAACGTATCGTAAGAGCAAAGTCTCATACAATGGGTGAACCGAGACAAAATTCTAGCCACTTTAGGCACCCATTTTTCTTGCCAGCGCTGGCGGAACATGCTGAAGCTGCAAGGGTTGGGTATTGGGATGCCCCTAAAATTCAGGATCAGTATCGTGAAACCAGTGCAGTCTATAACAACTCACATGCATAATATGATACTTCAAACCGGAAGCCTGCTTGTAGACATTTCCACATCCTTCATGAGGACAAACATAGGTTCTATTTCCTTTAACCGAGGAATTTCCCGACCGCCCACCGGCTGAACTCGGTTCCCGGTCAGACAACCCTTCTTCTTGGCCTTCAAAATTAGAAGAGCGTGCAGTGTTTAACGTAAAAAGGTCATCAGGTACATGATCTTGAGATTCTCTCTTCTTGGCATTGATCGCGAGTTGGAAGTGTGCTTTGGAGAGTTGTAGGTGATATTGCATACCATTGATGCTCTGTGCGCACAATGTCCATTAAGATGTCGGAGCTCAACGTCAGCATAGAACAACTTACCTTCCACCCCTTTCCGCATCCTTTGAGCGCACATCGGAATAGCCAAGTTCCACCCGCACCTGTACCCTTTCCTGGGCCAGGTGAGTTCTCTTCTTCAGCACCATGAACGGTCCTGCGATGATCAACGAGTTCCGCGCTCGTCGAATAGGTTACTTTGGCACGAAAAGTCAGCAACTCCTCATCACCACTCTCGACGAAGTCAACTGCTTCATCCCAACAATCTGGATGACCGCACGCATAAGCAGATACAGGTGCCGCAACCTGCCCCGATAGTCGAGTCTCCGAGGACACCTGCTTGCTGGATGACATAGATGGCCCAATACTGATAACCGACAAGCTGGATTTACTATGACGGCGGCGCTTCGTGGGTGGATCCGGATTCAACAAGGAAATCGCACTCGAGAAACTGGTCGCTTCGTCAATCTCATACGCCGTAGGACTTCGCCTTGTTGTGCAACAGCAAGAATGCGGGTGAATGGATGAATGTAGCTCTGGAGTTCCGAATGATTCTATACTGGGAGAGTAAAAGAATGCACTCGGGGGTGATGCAGAGGATAGAAGGGGTTGTGTCTCCATGGAGTGGACGGATCCGTGGATTGAAGTATTGAGGAGACTGGATTCGGGTAATCCGGAAGAAATATCGAATGGATGATTTGACCCCATCTGAAGTGGCTGGAATGTCATGTCCGACATATTATGAGTTGTCATTTGACTTGACAAAGCATTACCACCTGCAAAGGTCGATGAATTTGGTTGTGTGGGTGTGCCTAAGAATTCCTTAATTAGTGATCGGGAGGAAAGGGAAAAGGTTAACACTAACCTTGAATATACGGTAGAAGC